GGGGCTGTTGCCTCGGCACCCCCTCGCCCCTGCTCTGTGAGCCTCTGGGGGCCGACTGCTGCCGGCGGGGCAGGTGTGAGATGCCGTGTGGTGTGCAAAGGGCCTGGTGTTGGCAGGAACCAGCAGTTGTCATGTCTGCCGCGCCGCACGGGCACCGGGCACTCGGCTGTCTGACACCCCTTTGACTGTGGAGGGCCGTGGTCCCCGGTGCTGAGGAGGAGGAGGAGGGGAGGATCGGAGATGTTAAGGAGCGTGCCCAAGGTGACCTAGCCCAATGCGGCTTAGGTGCTAACCCGGTGCATTAGCGGGGAGCTGGCTCTGAGAGTCCCCATTCCAGGAGTCGGGGCCAGGGCAGGGGAAGGGGAGAGCAGCCGGTGGGCAGAAGGGCGCTGCCCGAGGCAGTGGAGGCCCAGGCGGGAGCCGGGAGCTGAGCAGGCCTGGGCTGCATTGGCTGAGGACTCAAGGCGTAGCGAGGCCCCAGGAGACGGTCAGAAGGGTCGGCTTTCTGCAGGACACAGGTGTCCTCTGGTCACCAATCGGGCGAGTGGGTGTGGCATCCAGGGCGGGATGTCGGTGACTGGGGGCCGCTCCTCTGGAGGGATGCGGGGCTGTGTCTGCAGCGGAGGGCGGGTGCGGGGTGGCCCCGTTCCCTGGCCGGCCGCTCCGACCTTCCGGCAGGCCTGTGTCTGAGATCTCACGGCCTGAGTCAGGCTCCTGAGCAGGGCCGCCTGTGTTTGGATTTTTCTGCTTCTGGGGACCAGCTGGGTGCTTGACTCTTCCTCTTCATCATGGCCTTTCCCTGTCCACGTGTGGTCCAAGCGCCCTCGTGGGCTCCTGGCCTCCGGATCCCATCGCCTCTTTCCAGCCTGCAGCCCTGTCTTTTCGCCGGCCAGTGTGAGCTCTCAGGCCACGATGTGAGGGAGACAGGCCTCTTCAGTCACTTCCCAGGACCGCAGTTCCTTTGCTGGGTCACAGAGAGGGCAGCGGTCTCCTGTCCCCTCAGTCTGGAAAGTCGTATGGTGCGGCCCACATCCCGCTCACACCCTGGGCACAGTGCCTGGTGGGGAATCCAAACGCCTAGGGCCTGGCCTGTGTCCCAGGAGACTGCCCACGGGCTCAGGGGCCAGGGTTCCTTGGAAAAGGGGGTGTGGCTGGATCGGAGAGGCAGATAAGTGGCTGCAGGCCTGCAGGGGTCTGCAGTGGGGAGACCCTGGAGGTGACGACCCCTGGGTCAGCGTCTTGTGTTGGTGTATCTTGGAGCCTCCACTCCCTCCGTCTTTCCTAGTGGCAAGGAATTTTGGCTTTGGGGGTCCCTTGTAGCATATAGTCAAGAGGAAGTCTCAGGGGCTTATGGAGAAGGGCCATGCCCCTTGGGAAAGGGTCACGTGGTCAGCTTCTCTGGGTGTCAGGAAGGTTGTACCCCTGTGCTCTGGAAGGCAGCCCCCTACTCTGGCCTGTGGGCTAGGAGACCACCTCTAAATCTTGGGAACATTCCCACCTTCTCCAAACTCCTGGTACCGTAAGGTGTCTGCTCTGCTGTAAAGGGTTTCTAAACCTTTACTTTATGTTAAAAACAAACCAAACCAAACAAAAAATGAAAAACGTTGTCATTCTTGCCTCTTACTCATCAGCAGGGGATGCACTACCAAGTTTTCCCATTTCTGAGGTGGCAGCTGGCAGCACAGTGTTGGGGGGGTGCTGTCCCTTGAATGGTGGCATGCCGAGCTGGGTCACAGTGTCCCTGGGACCAGGGATGGCTACGTACCGGGAATCGCATGATGTGACAGACATTCTTGGGTGTCACCCAGGGCATTTTCACCAAGAAGACAAGGCACTCTGGCCCCCTGCTGACCACGACAAGGGTGTCCAGGCAGCTGACTTTTTCTTGCATCTTCGCCCAAATCTGGCCTTTCTCCGACAGACCCGTGAAGCTCAGGTACATGCCCCTGGCAGGGTGCACGGTTGGAGAACCTTCTCAGGTCTGCTGTTTACGAAGTCCTTGCGTCTGAGCCACCCCCTCATCTCCATTCGAACGGTGTTCTGAGAGTCCACGCAGGGGATCCCTTCTCTCTTCTCAACAGTGGCCCCCGCCCAGGCCCACGTGGAGGCAGAGATGGGTCACCTACCTGGGAGCACTCTCCATACGTCTCAAACTAAAATGCTCCTGCGTCACCCGGGGGACGCGTGAAAGTGGCCATTCTGGTTCGGTCGGTCTGGGTGGGGGAGCCATGTTTCCAACAAGCTTCCGGGTGGTACCGGTGCGGCCGGTCAGAGAGGGCCTCACTTTGGGCAGCGGGGCCCACCCAGCGTGGCCACTTCACGGACGTGGAAGCGGAGGCCCAGAAGGCTGCGGTGACTGGCCCGTGGTTAGAAGTTGAACTCGGCCGTCCAGCTCGCAGGCCACCCTCGGCCTCAGCGAGGGCCCCCCCACCCCCTGTGCAGGCCGGGGGCTCCGGCACAGACCCAGCCTCCCATCACACTCCCCCTTGGCTGTGGCGATGAAAGACTTCTTGTTCCGCCAGGGCCCTGCTCCTCGACCTCCTTTTCCACTGCCTCCAAAGAGGCTTTTCAAGGTTTCACTTGCTCTGACTTATGGACACCTCCCCTTCTCCACTGGAAATGTTAAAAATCGCTTCTCTCCTTCAGGAAAAAGTATGCTGGGCCGCAAGCAGTCAGCCTTCCCTGCTTCTTGGCACCTCCCCCAGAGGGGCCGAGAAAGGTCCCCTGTGCTTCTCTGTGGCCACCTGCCACCTCTGCTGACTGCGCCTCAGTTTCCCCGCCTCTCAGATCTTTTAGAGCCCGTGGCACAATGGCCCGCAAGTGGCAGGGAGAGTCCCCCCAGGGGACTCGGGGTATCAGGCCTTGGCCTAAGGCCCGTGGAGACCGGTTCGAGAGTCTGAGGAGGTTCCCACTCTCTGTCCCCTCCTGCTGGTGGGAGGGCGAAGTGCCAGCCTGGGGACGAGGCCATGCTGGCAGCGGGCGAGAAGTCTCCCTGAGGCCAGGCCCAGGCGGAATGGAAGGGGGAGTCGGGAAAACTGCCTTTTATAGACATGTTCTTTCTTTCCTGGCTTTCTCCTTTTCGCCCCAAGTTTACTCACGGCGGCGGCAGTGCCACTCGCAGGCGCCCGGCCCGTGTGAGGCTGCGCGCCCGGGCAGGCAGGCGGCACCGCATGCCCCTGCCCCCCATCTCGCCTGCAAGTTGCCTGACCTGCATGGGAATCCGCGGGGGGCGGGGGCGAACCCTTTCAGAGGCTGAATGCAGTTGGATTCCGCGTCTTCGCTCCCCGCCTGCCCTCACCCCAGCGCCGGGAGCAGAGCCCTGCTTTCTTCTCCGGGTGAATGAATGCCGTAGTGTGTCTGCCTGCTCGGACTTCCCTAACCCTTTCTTCTCCTCGCCCACAGTGAATGCTCCGGTTTTCTCCGCGAACAGCTCACACTTGGCGTTTTGACGTTTTATTAAAAAGAAAAAAAAAAAAAACCCTGCCCAGGGAAAAAGTAGGGACCCCTCCTGCCTCCCCCGTGGGGGATCTGAGCCCGTGTCCAAGGCTGGCTGCACCTGCCTTGCGCCCCTACCAGGAAGGGGTGCTTGGGAGGGAAGGAAGGAAGGCGGCTCTGCGCGCCCGAATCTGGGGAGCGCAGCGCGCCGCCCCCTCACCCGGCAGCCAGAGCGACTCGCCCGAGGGAGCCCCAGAAACCGGCCTCCGGTGGTGCTGGCCGCGCGCTTGCCAAAAAATGCCCCTTGCATCCCAATTTCCCCGGCCGTTTCTCGCGCACGCAGGCTCGCCTGGGGGCCACCTGGGCTCTTGGGCGCAGCCCTTTCTGCGCGTGTCCCCCGCTTGCCCAAGGCCCAAAGCAAAAACCCGCTGCCGAGGGGGCGCGGGGGCACCCACCAGGCCGAGCCCCGCAGTCCCCTCCCGGCTGAGCCCAGCTCCCGGACTCTCCATCCCGGAAACGAGTGTCATTCAGATGGAGGGCCTCGCGCCCGCAGTCCCCTCCTCGGCGCGGGGCGCCTCCCCGGGGTTGCGGTGCGCTCCCGGCGCTGTCGGCGAGCCTGTGCCCCCAGCTCAGGCTCGGGGAGCGCTCCGCGTTCACCTCGGCCGCGTCCCCGTCCCTGCCTCCCGCGGGCCGGATTGCAGCAGAACCGGGCAGCGCGAGGGCCAAAAAGTGGGAGGGAGAGCGCCTCTCGGCGTCGCGCGGCCGGCTCGCCAACTCCGCCTCCCCAGGCCAGACCCTCGCCATCCCGCCTGCAACTTTTCCCCTTCCTCTCGCTTCCACCCCAGGCTGCGGCTCGCGGACGCCGGGCCGCGAGGCGTGGAGCCGCCGGGAGGACGCGCGCGGCTGCGGGTGGCGGCGAGCCGCCGAGTGGGTGGGTGGGTGGGTGGGGAGAGAGGAGGGGAGAGGACGGGCGGGGACGGGCGGGGGAGACTCGCTCTCCTGCCGCTCCCAGCCCGGGCGGGGGGCGGGGGAGGCGGCCGCGAGTGGCGAGTGGGGAGGGGACGGAGGGAGGGGAGAGGGAGGGCGCCGAGGAAGACGCTCCGAGGACCCGGGCGGTTTCGTGGGGCTCGGAGCGCTAGTGCGTTTCTGCAGGCGCGCGGCGAGCCATTCCGGCGGCCGCCGCAGCTCCGCCGCATCTCCTTCCTCCTCCTCCTCCTCCTCCTCCTCGGAGCTCGGGGCGTGTGTGTGTGTGTGTGTGTGTGTGTGTGTGTGTGTGTCTGAGTGTGTGTGTGTGTGTCTTTTGCAGGTGTGTCCGTTTTAATTCTGCCCAGTAGGTGGGACTTGGTGACTTTAGCACCATTTTTCCTTTCCCCCCGTTTTTTTTTTTTTTTTTTTTTTTTTTTGCCTCCCCACCGGCTGTTGCCACCCTGCAAAGTCTCGGAGTCGGCGAGCGCGGCTCGCAGCTCGAGCCCCGGACCGGCGAGCCGGCCACCATGCCAGGCAGACCGCGCCACTAGGCGCTCCCCGCGGCTCCCACCCGGCGGCGGCGGCGGCGGCGGCAGCAGCGGCAGCGCGATGGTTCCCGACGCTGAAGGATTTTGCATCTGATCGCATCGCACGGCGTTTCAAAGGCAGAGGCCCCCTCCCCCTCCCCCTCCCTCGTCGTCTTTGTTTCCTTCCCCCCCCCACCCCGGCTCTCCCCACTCCCCCCACCCCAACCCCCTCGCCTCTCCTCCTCCTCTTTTTTAGAAGCAGCGATCGGAGATGGATGTCTCTCTCTGCCCGGCCAAGTGTAGTTTCTGGCGGATTTTCTTGCTGGGAAGCGTCTGGCTGGACTATGTGGGCTCCGTGCTGGCTTGCCCTGCGAATTGCGTCTGCAGCAAGACCGAGATCAGCTGCCGGCGGCCGGACGACGGGAACCTCTTCCCGCTGCTGGAAGGGCAGGATGCGGGCAACGGCACGGGGAACGCCGGCCTCAACATCACTGACATCTCGAGGAACATCACTTCCATGTAAGTCGGCGTCGCTGCCCGCCCGCCTCCCCCTCCGCCGCGGCTGCCTCTCGCTCGCTCGTGCGCCGGGGGCCCGCGTCAGGCTCGCTCTGGCTCGAGAGATGCCCGGGCTGCGCGTGCAGGTGACTCGGGCCCTGTCCAGGCGTGATCGGTGGTGCCCCTGTGCCTCTGCCGGGAGAGGACCCCCTGCCGGCGGCGAGGGCACGGGGAGGGGGGCGCCCCGCTCCCGCCCCCGCTCCCACCCCTGCAGCTGGTGCCTAGGGTGCCAGTCAGGTTCCTTTCCCCCCACGAAATAGCAACAGTTTGGCCATGCTCAAGTAGAATAAAGTAGATGAGGTCTGGGTCCCTGGCAGCGATGGTGGCAGCGACAGCGCCTCGGGGCTTAGCCCGGGAGGGAAGGTGACGGATAGGGACTCGCCATCGCCAGAGATGTTTAACTGTTTCCTTTTGGACACAGCACAGCACGCTGAGGAGTAAACAAGTTTGGAGCTGGCTGCTGGGGCTGGGAGAGAGACTTGGGACACGTCAGGGCCTCCCACCCCTTCCCTTCTCTCTCGCCTGCCCTTTCCAGCCCCATTTTTGGCATTTCTGCGACCCCATCCCCCGCCCCCCCATTTTTACCCTCCTCTGCATCTGGGTGTCGACTGATCATCCCTCTCCCGGCTTGGAGAGTTGCTCCGGGAAATGGGAACCTGGGGCGAGAGGGCTTGGCGGGGGTTCCGATGTGATCGTGGGAACACGTTTATTTGGAAAATTGAACTCTGACCGGCCTCGGCGTTCTCCTGCCCCGCATAAGTGAGACCTGCGGTGGCCTGCTCTGTTCTGGCCCTTCTTCCTCGGCAGGGAGGGAGGCGGGAGCGTGGACGGGGAGAGGGGGCTTGGGGTCCAGGGAGCCCGCCCATCTCTCTTTCCACTGACCCCAGCCAGGCGACCCCCTCCCTTCCTGCCATCCAGAGGAGGGTGGGGATGGCCCTGGAACCGGTCGGGGACGGCTCTTGCCCATCTCCCCCCAAAGACCCACTCCTGAAGTGGGAGGGATGCTGACGGGGGTTTGCACCGAAGCCCTGGCGGGGGCCTGGGGGAGGCATTTGGGGGGACTCAGGAGGGGCCAGCCCTCCCTCTGCCCCAGGCCCGGCCTGGTGGGGCTGCAAAGCCCTCAGGAACTGCAGCCTGCTCTCCCAAGCCCGCCAGCCCTCTGGCGTAACAGAGACTCTGCCAGCGTTCTTGCAGCTTAACACTCCGAGGGGAAGAGCACAACCAAGGAGACGTACGTGCCTGCCTCTTGGCCCAGGAGGCCAGCCCGGCCTGTGTCTTGGCCGTGCCACTCGCCCCCTCAGCCCAGGGCTCGGTGGAGACAAGATAAACAGCCCAGGATGGGGTGGTGGGGATGGTGCGGGAGAAACACAAGGGTCCCAGCTGCGCCTCTCCCGTCCTGCAGGCCACGGCGTTCCAGCGTCCCCAAGGAGGCAGGGACGAGGGTCTGGAGTGAGGTTGTTGGGAAAACTCCAGCCTGGACGCACACGACCGGGGTTGTGTGTGTGTGGAGGGGGTAAGGGGAGGTGGGCACAGCTCAGCAGAGGGTCCACAGGCTCAGGAGCTGGACCCAGGGGTTTCCAGGGGGTCGAGTGGGCCGAGGGTTGGAAAGACGGTGCCCCAGCTGCCCCCCGTGGGTCTCTGGGAGCCGGGGGCCGCATCTGGCATGTGCTGTGCTCTGAGGGTGTGCATCTGTGTCCAGCGGTGGGGGGGGGGAGGCAGGGATGCAGGCTCTTCCCAGCTGCCTGGACCTGCGGCTCCTCTGAAAAGGATGCTGGAGGGGCAGCCTGGTGGGGAAGAGTTCCGTGGCCTCTCCAGGCGGACGGTCCAAGGTGCGGGTGTGGGGAAGGTCGGCGATGGGGCAGCCTCTTGTCCTCTTTGCCGCTCTCGGGCCCCAGAAGGGCATGTGGGGGCACTGTGAGCTGGGACTGTGTTGGAAGCCCCTCCGGCGGGTCCCCATCCTTGTCTCAGGATTAGGGCTCTTTGGCAGGAAGTCGGGACTCCTTTCCTTACGTCTACACCAACACCTACAAGCCCCAGGAACTGGGTTCTCATTGGAGCTCCGCTGAGTGGCAGGTGGGGCAGGTCGGAGGTCGGGGGTCAGATGACCCTTCCTCGCATTTCTTCTCCCAGGTGCCCTGTTATGTCTGTGGCTGCTATTGACTGGAGGGCCCTGCCTTCCAGCCTGGAGGTGGAGGGCGGTGGAGAGAGGGAGTGGAGCCGTGCGGGCCTGGGGACCAGCCGTCTGGCCCCGTCTGACCCCCAGTGGGGCAGCAACGTCACTTCCCTGGGGGCATGCCGCCCCGCTGGGGCTCAGACTTAGACTCCATGTACCCCACCCTGAAGCTCAGGCACCCCACTCTGTGGGGCTGCCCTGGGGAACAGGCTGGAGGGAGGGCCTAGGGCCCAGAGGAGCCCTCTGGGCTGGGTGGGGGGCTTCCTTTGGTGTGACCCCAAGGGGGCGTCAGCCGAAGCCCGGGCTTTGCCGGGGAAGAATGTGGTGCCACCATAGAGGAGGAGTGAAGGGCCCCGCAGCCCCCCATCAGGCCGAAGCTGTGTGTGCCGAAGGAGGCAGCTGGGGCCAGACTCTGGGGCCCGAGGAAGAGGCTGGGCCGGAGCTCAGGGAACCTGGGGGGGTCCCGCCACGATCTGCCCCCTGTCCTCGGGGCCGTGGTCCTTCCTCTCAGGGGAGGAGTGTGGTATGGCTCCTGTGTACCCACGGGAGGCTGACCCAGGGCCCCTGTCATGGGGAGGCCGCCTCCCGTGAGTATCAGGAGGAGATCAGCTGCCAGGCCTCGGGACAGAAGTGTGGGTCTCACCTCCACCCCTCCCGGCGCCGGGCTGCTCCCCAGGGCCCTCCCTTTTGGCCTCTTTGTGTTCAGGAGGCCAGTCCCTTTGCCCCTGGCGCTCCGACACACAGTAACCTCACCTAGAAGGGCCGGTGCACAGCCGCGCCCAGCCCAGGCTCTGACGTCACAAAGGCAGGAGGGTGGTGGCTGGAGGGGGGGTGGCCGTCTGGGCCACCTCTGTAGGCCGGGTGTGCTCGGGCCGGGTTGGCAAGGCGCACCCGCTGCCTTTTAGGAAGGAGGCGGAGGGAGAGGAGATGGCATCCCTGCGCTGGGTGTTCTCGCCGGGTCGGCTCCCCGGGCTCGTGCAGACGTGGGCTCTTGGCGGGGAAGTGGCGGCTGCCAGCCCACTCCCTGCGCCAGCCACCCTGGGTCCCTGGCGTTTGCGGCTCTCCATCTCTCCCGGCGGGACCCAGCCTGGCTGGGTGGAAGATCACTTTGAGCTTCGGCTGCTGGACCAGCTCCCCGACTCTCAACCTTTCCAGGGATGCAAGGGACAGGCAGCCTGGACAGTGACCAGTGAGAGCTGGGAGGCCGACAGGGGCCTGGGCCGGGCCCCACAGGCCCTGTGGGCTTGGTCAACAGCCCCGGGACAGGGCAGGCCTGAGGGAGGAAGGCTGAGGTGTGTGAGGTGCAATTGGGAAGGGGGTGGTTACAGCCTAGGGGCTGGGGAAGAGGGACCCCAGGATGGAGGTTGGGGACCTTGGCCTGCAGAAGCCCCACGATTTTGCCTGGAGGCCGGACTGGGTGGTGGTGGGCTCCAGCCCCTGAAAGCCAAGGTCAGTCCCCTGAGGGGCCCAGGGCGTCAGCTCGGCGGCACCAGGGGACCCAACACGGGAGAGCTTGGGGCAGCACCGGCCCAGCCTGACCCCGGCTTTGAGAGCACTTGTGAGCTGGCCCCTGCAGGGCTGTGCCTGGAGCCCAGGGGTCCTGCCGGCATGAGTGCTGCGTGCTGCTGTGAGGGGGATGCTCCCCGCCCTCGCCCTGCCTCTGTGCGTCTGCCCCCACCCCGGCCAGCTCCTCGGTGCTCTCGAGTGGTGTGTGGTCCTCCCTCCCGTGGCCAGGACTGCGGCATCTCCACTGCTGCCCGGGGTCCCCGTCTTCAGTTCTTGTTGAACAGCTTGTCCCAGGATCCCCGCAGGCCTGCGGTCGGCCAGTGGCGGATGGATTTGGGAAAGGGACAGACCTGCCAGTCCCAGGCCTGGTTCCGGCCGTATCCCGGTTATGAGCCACCGTAGACAGCTGTAGCCTTTCTGAGCCTGTCCACTCAACTGTGAATTGAGAACCTAGGACAGTGTCCCTTCCGTCTCGGACACATGCCATCCCAGGCCAGAGGAGTGTGCCCCACCTTTGCTATGGGTGCCAGCCCCTGTGGGCCACGGGCTGCCGGCCGACTCTGGAGAACTCTGGGCCGCACGGGATGGACTCCCCTGCCCAGACCGAGTGCTGCCCGCAGAGAGAGGGCGTGGGGCCTGCCGCCTCTCGGGAGGGACTCCCCCTGGGTGCCGAGCTCAAGGCAGGGCCAGGCGTCTCTGCAAAGCTTCCCCTCCCCACCCATCGTGGACCTCCGCTGGGCGTGAGAGGAAAATGTCAGAACTTCTACTTCGAATTATCCGTCTCTAGAAAAGGGAATATTTCATGTATGGATCGCAGCCTGTGGTTTGACGGATATGCGTGTTTGGGGGTCAGGAGATGAAGTGTGCTTTGCCGAGGCCTAGGTAATCAGAAAGGCGTGGTGCCAGTGCTGGGCTTGGGAGGGTCTGAGCTTGAGGGGAGGTGGGTGACCCCAGGAGAGGGGTCACCCGCAGCCCTGGCTCCCCTCTGGGTTCTGTTCCAGGTAGGGGTTGGTTAACTGGGAGGGGGCAGGGGCGATGTGAGGAGGGCTCAGGCGGGGTGGCATCGCGGGTACCAGCTCCCGATCAGGATTCCGGCTGCCCCCTAGTCCTTGGGTGGGGGCCGGGTCGTTCTCACAGCTGCCTGCTGTCCCCTCCGCATGCTGCCAGTGGTCCCCTGCATCAGGCTGTCCATCCCCATGAACCCCCGGTGCTGGCCTCCGAGACAGCTCCCGGGGTGCGGTGGTTGAGTTTATTTCTGCAGCAGCTACTGGAGGTGCATGAGCAG